AGCAATTGGTCATGGCGCCATAGGGAGTGCTCGCAAAGGCTGAGCCATTTGTAAGGTGATCCCGAACTTGTCTTCCATGTTCAAAGTTTCCGGGCTAACCCCATCCTCCAACTTCCAATCAAAGGAGTGAAGCAAAGAACCCAACATCAAGTGCAACATTCGCGCTGCCAATGGCAATCCAGGACATATTCTTTTCCCCGCACCAAAGGGAATGAGCTCAAAATCATGGCCTCCAAAATCTATATTCAATTTCAAAAATCTCTCTGGCATGAACAGGTTGGGATTTTCCCAGATGTTGGGGTCCCTACCCATGGCCCATACATTAACTAGCAGTTGAGAATCCTTGGGGATGGTATGCCCGCAGACTTCAACTTCACTCTCAGCTTTGCGAGGAACCAATAATGCGGCTGCAGGATGCAAGCGGAAGGTTTCTTTGACAACGGCTTGCAAGTAAGGAAGCCTAGTTATGTCTGATTCTTTCACTTGGTTTCCTTTGCCAATAACTTGCTCTAGCTCTGCTTGGGCTCTTGACAAGATCTCTGGGGCTTTTAGTAGCTCAGCCATTGACCACGCCAATGTGGATGAAGTTGTTTCAGTGCCGGCCGCAAATATATCCTATTTCATACATTCCAAAATTAGGATCAAACAATGAACACGTATATGTATAGTAATAATACTACAAGAGACCACGTATAATACTAGATTGCTGTAATTTTTGCAATGAACATATGAATTTTTGTGCCAAGAATTTGATTGGAATTAATAATGAGGTCTTATGAGCACGTATATGTAGGCTGTTACTGGTTGTATATTTAGGAGAAATTGAAAAGATCCAAATCAAAATGTGTATTATCTTATTTCTGCTCGTGATATTTCTACAATTGTGAGTTTTTTTTTTTTTTTTTGCCAAGCAATTGGTGCGGTTGATCTCAATTCTCACATATTTTTCCCCCTTTTGTGAAAAGTTAATCAAAAGGTTTTTATGTACCAAGAAAACATTTTTTTTTTGTTTGACTTATTTTTTTAATATTACCGCGCACACTCTCCTTGTTTTTCAGCTTTAGCACCAAGAGTAGTGACTAAGCAAATAACATTCTAATTAAAACCCTGCATGTGTGAGAGTCACGTAATTTTTTATCCACAATTTGATGGAACTGTCACGGAATGACTTTTGTATTATAAACGTTTAAACCATCATAATAAGACCTTCAAAAACTGAAATTCGACAATAAAAATGAGACATATATTGAATACTTTAATTTAAAAAAAAAAAAAAAGAACCCCAAATATATAGTAGTATAACAGCTCGGCTTACCATCAAGAAATGTTTAAGTGTGGTTTTGTTTAGGTGATCATTTTCTTTCTTCTCTTCATTGATCACCATCATGTTGATAAGAGTGTCCAATATATCATTTTCTTTCACAGAATCACCCATTTCCCTGAGTTGCAACCTTTGGTTGATGATATGATCAAACAAGTCCAGCATTTTTCGGAAGTGAACATTGGTGCGCCTCCTAATGCCTTGGGGATCACTCCACCTAAGAAACGGGAAATAGTCTGTGAGATTCGGTTTTCCCAACTCTTCAACAGCACTACAAACGGTCTTCCTTATCTCTCTTGCATTGTTGGAGTTCGGATCAGCTAAATCCATAGAGAAAAAGGTGGTGGACAACAGATTTAAAGAAGCTTTGAAAGCAGCGTTTCCAATTTCCACCGCCTCACCGGCCTCAGCACTATTTCTGAGATCACATAGGAGCTCTTGTACCTTGTTGTGCCTCAGATTCATGTTGGCATCAAGAACCTTGCTGGCAAGCAAGTGGACGTTGAGTATTTTCCGTAGGTCTCTCCATGAAGTTGAGACGGGTAAAAAAATCATGCTGAACTCGCAGTGTTTGGAGGCGCGGGCTGCGTCTGAGATTGTTCGGTTGGAGAAGAACTGGCTGTGTGTTTGTAAGACTTCCTTAGCCATGGTTGGTGAGGAAACGACAATTGACGTTATTTGGCCGAGTTTAAGACTCATAATCGGACCATAAGTCTGGGAAAGCCTGGCCAAGGACTTGTGGGGTTTGTCACCGAGCTCCAACAGGTTTCCTATGATGGGAAGAGGTTTTGGACCATGTGGAAGTAGATTTTTGGTTCTGGGCCGACTTGCAAATGAATTGAAGGCTTGAATTGAGATACAAAGGATGAGAACAAGACACAATAAACTGGTGAAAATGTCCATCTCTTAATTACCCCCTTCTTGTTCTCTGTCTCTCCAGTCTCTTCCCTGTTATAGACAGAGGAAGATCACCATAATATGGTTGAGTTATGATTAGGACTGGTTTTTCCCCCCTCACCATAACATGTAATTAGGAAGATCACTAATTACACAGAGGAAGTCTCTTCCCTCTCTCCATTACCTGCAGCCCACTTTCTGGAATGGAAACTGTTTGAAGTTGATTGCACGGAACACTATTTAGTAAAAGTCGCAGAAATATGTGGCTAGAGTGAGTGGCTGAAATTAGAACAAGAAGTCCGGTAAATTTAAAACTTGTAGCATAAGCATATAGCCACACAATCACGTCAACCCTTGATATCTTTTATGAATCACATCTACCTTAATAATGACTGAATCTATCATAAGCCTAATATTTCAACACATTTTTACATCAGTCTGTTGGTTCAGTTTACAAGTAGAGCTATAGGATAACATTTGGGACAGGGGCTGCACAAACGCAGGCCCCGACAACCACAAATAATGACGTAGGCTATGAGGATTTTCATTTCCTACACTATATGTTTAGTATTAAAAAATGTGAGAAGAAAAGTTGAAAGAGGGATTTAAGAATATAAAATAAATATTATTAGATTGTTTGACAGAGATCAGAAATTTAAAAAAAAAAAAAAAAAAAAAAAAAAAAAAAAAAAAAAAGAAAAAAAAATTAAAAAAAAAAAAAAAAAAAAAAAAAAAAAGATAAAACAAGTGATAAATCATTCATGGGTTATATTCTACTCTTTTTGACTTTGCATAGATAAGAGAGGGAAAATGTTGTACAAAATATATGGGCAAGTCTATGGTATAATAATAAAGTCAACTTGTATAAGTAATTAGAAAGCCTATAGTAGGGGGTTCCTTTTGCCCTTACCGGTAGGTAGCACAAAATCGTGAGCACCCTTGGATTCAATATCTATGGCCAAAATGATTCTTCCCATAGAAAGAAAAATGAAGACCATTGCATCTAATCAAATCCTTCCTTCAAATCTAAAACTAAACGCCATCTCTAAACTCCCTTTGAGCTTATCAACACTTCTCAAATCTAAGAAGAATCAGCCGAAGTGTAATAAATTAGTTGCTACTTAATCCTGTAAAAGTAATATATTTTCTCTGTTATTATTTTGTTACTTGATCACTTGAAGGGTATGTTTCACGAAATTGATTTACAAATCATAAACAATCAAAATTGTCCAAACCCATAAACAATAAATTAAATATACAATCATAATCCCAATTTGCCCATTCATCTCAAAAAGCCATTGTCAGTGGCGAAATCATCATTGGCCGGTCAGTAGATTAGGTTGGATTGAGGGAAAAATTGTTAGTGTTGCTTAAGAGGGTTGAGATCGACTCGGCAGACTTGCACGCCCCCGTTGTTATTATTAGGATCCATTCACCATTGCAGATAGAGAAATGAAAACACAAAACAATATTTAGTATAACAATATTTATTATATATATTAAATGTTGTTTTGTGTTCTCATTTTTTTCTGCCTTCTAAATTGTGTTTTACTCCTTAAAATGTAATACGTTTTATGCCACATTCATTTGAAAATTTAAGGGGTTAATCTCACAAATGATCCCGAGATTTATCTTAAATTTCACTTTAGTTTTTGAATTTTAAAACATCTCACAGTTGGCCCCAAGGTTTTACTTTGTTTCTGTTTTGATCCTTCTATGAGTTCGGTGTTGAATATTTAATATAATCTGTGAAAATTAGGGACAAAAATTAAAAACATCTAAAGTTTTAGAACTAAAATAATACCCAAAACAAAGATTATTTTCCACAAATAGTCCTTAAATTTTAACTATTTTCAATTTTAGTCTCTAATTTAAATAGATTCCGATAAATATTTAATACTTAATTAATAAAAGTGCTGAAATTGAAACAGAGTAAAACTTTAGGATCAATTGTGGGATGTTTTAAAAGTCATGGACCACAGTGGGATTAAGGATAAAAGTGAGACGTTTTAATTGATCTACTATGGCATCGTTCTCTTTACGGATTTAAATTTTTAATTCGAACTAAGATATTTTCTGAGAAGTTTTAACTGTAGTAGAAAAAGTTAGATATGACATTTTTTGAAAATTTTTCACTGTAAAAACCTTAAACTAAAAACTCGAATCGATAAAATGAACTAGCCTATACATTTCGGTAAGCCTATGAATACAAGTCTAAAATCAGGATAGTGACACAGAGAAGATTACCTTAACTTTATGCAGAGCTATATTTAAGATTGGAATTTCAATATATATGGAACCAGAAACAGTCTCCAACAAAACACACAAATTCGTCAACCCACCTTCCAACTTCCATTGTTCAAAGGAGTGAAGCAGAAAAACCAAGGCATTAGGCATTAGTGACGCATCATCTTTCAGGTCACATGAGTTTATCATTATGGTTATTTACAGTATTCATTTGGACACGACAAGTCGTTTTATATCTTTCATTATGTTGTCGTTTCAGATGCTTCACTGTGTTGTTTACCAAAACGAAATGTAGATCATCGATTGTTGTTAAACAATGTGTACATCATACATGACTAAACATACAACCCTGCGCGCCTTATGGATTCTCGCGGCTTTTTTTTTTTTTTTTTAATGAACTCGTGGCTTTTTATTAATTAAGATAAGATCATGTGTCAAAATATATTATCGGGTAAACAAAGGGAAAAAAAAATGGAAATTTGGATAGTCGCCTTATGATTTCACTTGCAAAAAGTAGTGTACGTACGTATAGACATTATGTATTGATTGACCTAGGGATGACTCGCAAAGGCTGAGCCATCTGAAACGTGAGGCCAAATTTGTCTTCCATGTTTATAGTCTCTGGTGTAACCCCATCTTCCAACATCCAATCAAAGGAGTGAAGTAATGAACCCAACATCAAAGGCAATATCCGAATTGCCAAAGGCAAGCCAGGACATAGTCTTCGTCCCGCGCCAAAGGGAGTGAATTCAAAGTCCTGACCTCTCACGTCAATATTTGAATCCAGAAACCTCCCTGGCATGAACTTTTCGGGCTTCTCCCAAATGGTTGAGTCTCTGGAAATGGCCCACACATTGACTATAACTTGCGCGCCTTTCGGTATGGTGTAGCCGAAGACTTTGACGTCCTTCGCAGCTTTACGGTAAGCGTATGGGACTCGGGTTATATTTTTAAGCTTTACAGAAGGTACCATGCCATGAAATAAATGGCAAAAAAAAAAAAAAAAACTAAAAAACTAAATATAGAGCAAGATAGATATTCAGCCATTCTTGTAATTACTGATGATACATTGAAATTGCAAGGAAACTGACGTACGCAGCAAGATGATATGATCGAAATAACAAATCCAGTATTTGCTCTCTTCATCAAGCAGATTTACAAGGTTTATTAGTCTAATATCTTCATTTATATGTGGTTTTACATGACACAAACTTTTACTCTCGTAATAGTATTATTATAATTAACACCATCAATCCATCATCATTTTTTTTTTTCCAAAATGGTAGCAACACGGTATAGACAATGAAATACATGATACGTAACATGTATCCCACGAAAGTTTTCATGAGGAAGCAATTGGTCATGGCGCCATAGGGAGTGCTCGCAAAGGCTGAGCCATTTGTAAGGTGATCCCGAACTTGCCTTCCATGTTCAAAGTTTCCGGGTTAACCCCATCCTCCAACTTCCAATCAAAGGAGTGAAGCAAAGAACCCAACATCAAGTGCAACATTCGCATTGCCAATGGCAACCCGGGACATATTCTCCGCCCGGCACCAAAGGGAATGAGCTCAAAATCGTGGCCTAAAACATCTATGTTCAATTTCAAGAATCTCTCCGGCATAAACTTGTGGGGATTTTCCCAGATGTTGGGGTCTCTTCCCATGGCCCATAAATTGACTAGCACTTGAGAATCCTTCGGGATGGTATACCCACAGACTTCAACTTCACTCTCAGCTTTGCGAGGAACCAATAATGGGGCTGCAGGATGCAAGCGGAAGGTTTCTTTGACAATGGCTTGCAAGTAAGGAAGCCGAGCTATGTCTGATTCTTTCACTTGGTTTCCTTTGCCAATAACTTGCTCTAGCTCTGCTTGGGCTTTTGACATGATCTCTGGGGCTTTTAGTAGCTCAGCCATTGACCACTCCAATGTGGATGAAGCTGTTTCAGTGCCGGCTTCAAATATATCCTATTTCATACATTCCAAATTTATGATCAAACAATCCAAAGAAACATAAAAGCAAATTCAAGAACAAGAGAACATGTATAGTACTAGATTGCTGTTATTTTTGCAATGAACATATGAATTTTTGTGCCAAGAATTTGATTGGAATTAATAATGAGGTCTTATGAGCACGTATATGTAGGCTGTTACTGGTTGTATATTTAGGAGAAATTGAAAAGATCCAAATCAAAATGTGCATTATCTTATTTCTGCTCGTGATATTTCTACAATTGTGAGTTTTTTTTTTTTTTTTTGCCAAGCAATTGGTGCGGTTGATCTCAATTCTCACATATTTTTCCCCCTTTTGTTATGATGAAAAGTTAATCAAAAGGTTTTTATGTACCAAGAGAACATTTTTTTTTTGTTTGACTTATTTTTTTAATATTACCGCGCACACTCTCCTTGTTTTTCAGCTTTAGCACCAAGAGTAGTGACTAAGCAAATAACATTCTAATTAAAACGGATTTTTTAAGTCAATAGGCCCCAAATGTACACCCATTCAATTCGTAGACCCGTTATAAATGGAATTTCAATTTTTATTTTTTTTATTCCTGGGATAAGAATGAATGACCAAAATATCCTTAAAAATTATGCCCAATCAGATCTTTCTTACTGGAAAGACCGGTTGGCAATTTTCTTACAGGACACACAAGTAAAAACTTTCTGACCGAACTCAGGTTTCTTACCGCTCCCACCAGTCAGAACGGAAAGAAATGACAGACGTGAGTTTCTTCGATTTTGCAGATTACTCAACTCCGAAGAGGCCATGAAATAGCATGATTCTTGTTGGTTTTTCAAATAAAATACCAAACCACGATTACCCAGCATTCAAACAATGAATTAAGCATAAAAAATACAAGATTTGAGAGAATAATGCTCGGACTATTAATCACCATGGATGCCGGCGATTGTCGACGTCGGTAGGGGCATTCTCCGGCGGTGAAAGGCGGTGCCGCCGGTGAACTTTGGCCGGCAACGTTCCCTCGTGACTGCCCAGCGAAGGAGGGGATTTAGCTCCTCCTTTTCAAACGTTTTTCCTTTTAATTTGAGAGAAAAGGAGAAGGGCATTTAGGGAATACACATTTTTTCATTTAATGAAAGGCCTACTCATTGAAACTTTCTATTTTGGAGCGGAATGACTTTTGTATTATAAACGTCTAAACCATCATAATAAGACCTTCAAAAATTGAAATTCGACAATAAAAATGAGACATATATTGAATACTTTAATTTTAATAAAATAAAAAAAAGAACCCCAAATATATAGTAGTATAACAGCTCGGCTTACCATCAAGAAATGTTCAAGTGTGGTTTTGTTTAGGTGATCATTTTCTTTCTTCTCTTCATTGATCACCATCATGTTGATAAGAGTGTCCAATATATCATTTTCTTTCACAGAATCACCCATTTCCCTGAGTTGCAACCTTTGGTTGATGATATGATCAAACAAGTCCAGCATTTTTCGGAAGTGAACATTGGTGCGCCTCCTAATGCCTTGGGGATCAATCCACCTAAGAAACGGGAAATAGTCTGTGAGATTCGGTTTTCCCAACTCTTCAAGAGTACTACAAACGGTCTTCCTTAGCTCTCTTACATTGTTGGAATTCGGATCAGCTAAATCCATAGAGAAAAAGGTGGTGGACAACAGACTTAAAGAAGCTTTGAAAGCAGCGTTTCCAATTTCCACCGCCTCACCGGCCTCAGCACTATTTCTGAGATCACATAGGAGCTCTTGTACCTTGTTGTGCCTCAGATTCATGTTGGCATCAAGAACCTTGCTGGCAAGCAAGTGGACGTTGAGTATTTTCCGTAGGTCTCTCCATGAAGTTGAGACGGGTAAAAAAATCATGCTGAACTCGCAGTGTTTGGAGGCGCGGGCTGCGTCTGAGATTGTTCGGTTGGAGAAGAACTGGCTGTGTGTTTGTAAGACTTCCTTAGCCATGGTTGGTGAGGAAACGACAATTGACGTTAGTTGGCCGAGTTTAAGACTCATAATCGGACCATAAGTCTGGGAAAGCCTGGCCAAGGACTTGTGGGGTTTGTCACCGAGCTCCAACAGGTTTCCTATGATGGGAAGAGGTTTTGGACCAGGTGGAAGTAGATTTTTGGTTCTGGGCCGATTTGCAAATGAATTGAAGGCTTGAATTGAGATACAAAGGATGAGAACAAGACACAATAAACTGGTGAAAATATACATCTCTTAATTACCCCCTTCTTGTTATCTGTCTCTCCAGTCTCTTCCCTGTTACAGACAGAGGAAGATCACCATAATATGGTTGAGTTATGATTAGGACTGGTATTTCCCCTTCACTATTTGCAATATATATAATGTTTGACATTTTTTGTTCATGTGGGGAGGAAAAAAAAAAATTCAGATTTGGCCCTTTTTCACGAGGAACGATTTCATTGCCTATTTCTTAAATGGAAACTGTTTGAAGTTGATTGCACGGAACACTAATTAGTAAAAGTCGCAGAAATATGTGGTTAAGAGTGAGTCGCTGAAATTAGAACAAGAAGTCTGGTTAATTTAAAACTTGTAGCATAAGCATATAGCCACACAACCACGTCAACCCTTATCTTTTATAAATCACATTACTTGGTATAAATTATAGTCAGTCTATATCTGTATGCGCCATTAATAATGACTGAATCTATCATAAGCCTAATATTTCAACAAAACAAATTTGGGATTTCCACTTCTGACAAATCGTCCCATTTTGAATAAAAACGTTGTTTTTTCAAGTTTTGTACAAGCCATTAATAATGACTGAATCTATCATAAGCCTAATATTTCAACAAATTTGGGATTTCCACTTTGACAAATCGTCCCAGTTTGAATAAAACGTTTTTTTTTTTTAATTGTCTTGATCATGCAAGTTTTGTCGTTTTAGCAGTCATTGTCACAAGTAAAGCTTTGGGCTACCAATTGGGACAGGGGACGCGCGAAGGCAGGCCCGACAACCACAAAAAGCTTTGGGCTAGCTAGCAATTGGGACAGGGGACGCGCGAATGCAGGCCCGACAACCACAAATAAGGGAAATGGTAGGAAATAGGCCAATATGAAAAGCTTAAGAAAATATATAGGTCAATTTTTAGTTATAAAAATTAATAGGTCATAACTTGTCAAGTTATGGTTCATAACCAGATAAGTTATGGACAAACTTGTCAAGTTATGGTTCATAACCAGATAAGTTATGGTTAATAATCAGATAAATTATGGACGAAAACAGTAATTTGGCATGTTTATTAACTTATGTAAACTATTGGCCTATTAATTTTAATTCATCTCAAATCTTGACATATTTTTCTCTTTCTCTCCACAAATAATGACGTAGGCTCCACCACTTGAGTATAAGTTAGCTTAGTACCTGCCCAAGTGCAATGGAAGTCACAAAGCTAGGCCATGAGCCTTCTCGATGACCTATTGAGCTTCAACGGAACCAAATCGAGGGGGACAAAAAAATTTCGTGAATTAACTTTTCATATCAATGAATGATTAAAGGTCCAACGTTATAAAAGAGTCCTAAGAAGAACGTGTAAATGTGTATTGTAGTGAGGATGAGGCCAAACTTGTCTTTCATGTATCATTGTCAAAGTGAAAATTCTCCACCTTCTAACTGTTGGTTGCAATTTTGGCCACCCATTGAAAGGTTTTGGTCCCGGTGGAAGCTTCTTGCTTCTTGTGTAAGAAAATAGCTGGAAGGCTTGAACTATGAACCAAATGACGAGAAAAAAATACAACAAACAACTCAAGAAATATTCCATATTCCTCTAAGATTTGCATCAATTCTGATATTTTCGTTGCCAAAAGACTTGACAAGGATATGTATACTCCGTACGTGAAGGCTTACTTACTATTAATGGAGAGTGCGAGGTCCTTTCCGCTGGCTGGTAAAATTTTTTTTATTTATTTAAAGGTTTTCTAATATTCATCTCATGACTTTTGTATTTTAAGATTATAAATTACGATAAGTAATATAATGTCCATAATGCACTGTTAAAGAAAAGAGGGTAGGATGCACATTAAATAATTAATTATAGAGAACATAATTCATGTTATGACATATTTTATGAATAAGATAGTAGCAAAGAAAAAAAGATGCCTCAGGCAATAACCCACCTTATGAGTTTATCATTATGGTTGTTTACAGTATTCATTTGGACACGACATGTCGTTTTATATCTTTCATTATGTTGTCGTTTCAAATTCTTCACTGTGTTGTTTACCAAAACGAAATGTAGATCATCGATTGTTGTTAAACAATCTGTACGTCATACATGACTAAACATACAACCCTGCGCGCCTTATGGATTCTCGCGGCTTTTTTTTTTTTTTTTTTTTTTTTAATGAACTCGTGGCTTTTTATTAATTAAGATAAGATAATGTGTCAAAATATATTATCGGGTAAACAAAGGGAAAAAAAATGGAAATTTGGATAGTCGCCTTATGATTTCACTTGCAAAAAGTAGTGTGCGTACGTATATACATTATGTATTGATTGACCTAGGGATGGCTCGCAAAGGCTGAGCCATCTGCAACGTGAGGCCAAATTTGTCTTCCATGTTTATAGTCTCTGGAGTAACCCCATCTTCCAACATCCAATCAAAGGAGTGAAGCAATGAACCCAACATCAAAGGCAATATCCGAATTGCCAAAGGCAAGCCAGGACATAATCTTCGTCCCGCGCCAAAGGGAGTGAATTCAAAGTCGTGACCTCTCACATCAATATTTGAATCCAGAAACCTCCCTGGCATGAACTTTTCGGGGTTCTCCCAAATGGTGGAGTCTCTGGAAATGGCCCACACATTGACTATAACTTGTGCGCCTTTCGGTATGGTGTAGCCGAAGACTTTGACGTCCTTCGCAGCTTTACGGGGAAGCAGCAACGGAACTGTTGGGTGCAAGCGAAGGGTTTCTTTGACAATGGCTTGTAAGTAAGGAAGCCGAGCTATGTCGGATTCCTTCACTTGGTTTCCTTTGCCAATAACTTGCTCAAGCTCTGCTTGGGCTTCTGACAAGATCTCTGGGGCTTTTAGTAGCTCAGCCATTGACCACTCCAATGTGGCTGAAGTCGTCTCAGTACCCGCGCCAAACAAATCCTGTCTCATGTTATAATTTCTCATCATCTTCCAAGTGTGATCACATTAATATAAGACTTTTTTTTTTAATTTTCTTGAGAAAAATATTGTTATAAAAGTATTTACCTATGTCAATTACTATCAAGAACATTAATACAAGAAGCAGAAATATAATAAAGTACGCGTACCAGTAATAAATGCTCAATTGTGGTCTTGTCAAGCTGATCATGATCTTCCAGCTTTTCTTTATTGATCGTCATGTTAATAAGAGTATCTAACATATCAATGTCTTGGGTCGAACCGATCTTTTCTCTTATTTGCAACCTTCGGTTGATGATATTGCCGAACAAGTCCAAGGTTTTGCGGAAGTGAATAGTAGTTCGCTTCCTAATTCCTTGAGGGTCAACCATTCTGAGGATAGGAAAATAGTCGGCCACATTCGGTCGTGCAATTTCTTCCACCATACCCCAAACGATCTCCTTGAAATTTCGGACCGTGTCCGATGCATGGTCGGCGAAATATTCCATAGAGAAAAAAGTGGTGGACAAAATATTCAGGGAAGTTTTGAAAGCTGCTTTCCCAATATCCACTGCCTCGCCATCTTTCGCGCTTTTATGGACATCGGCTAGTAGCTCTTGTACCTTCTTGTGCCTCAGGCTCATGTTGGCGTCAAGAACCTTAGCGGAAAACAAATGCGAGTTGCATATTTTTCGGAGTTTTCTCCAAGTTGGGGAAATAGGCATCCACGGCAGGCTAAACTCACTATGATCGGATGCGTGGATCGCGTCTGGGACTGTTCGGTTGGAGAAGAGCCGATCGTGCCTTTGGAGGACTTCTCTGGCCACTGCAGCGGAAGAGACAACGATTGTCGTTATTTGGCCGAGTTTCAAATGCATAATCGGGCCATAAGAGTTGGAAAGCTTGGCCAAGGATTTGTGGGATTTGTCACCAATAAGCTCCAAGAGGTTTCCAATTATGGGAAGAGGTTTTGGGCCCGGTGGAAGCTTTCTGCTTCTTGCAAAAGAGAATAGTTCCAAGGCTTTAACTAGAATCCAAATGATGAGAAAAAGATAAAATAAACTGCTCACGAAATATTCCATCTCGATGATCTGAATTAATTCTGATGGATCTCTGGTTGCCAAATAAAGAGCACCTTCGCTTTGGAGGATTTTTTTTTTTTTGGGCTGAAAAAATAAATAGAAAGTGATCAGATGTTTGTAAGTCCGGCGGTGGACTTTCTGCATTCGCATCAATCAATTTTATCGGCTAATTAACTTTGTCTAGGTACAATAGATTGCGGAGATGTCGATAAAAGAACTAGAACAAACGGATCTTTTTCTTGTTTGCACCATACCAATGTTGGAGCGACTCCTTTGTCTTCTATTAATCATACGGGACTTGATCCAAAAAAGCGCATTAAGGCATCAATGACTAATTGTTAGTAATATACAAAAGGGAATAGGCAATTGGAGAACGCCATAAATTAATGGGTATTTTACAAATTTACTCCTAAATTTGTATAAGTTAAACTGTTCATTTTGACAAATTGCCCCCTTAACCTGTAAAATATCATATTTTAATGATGATTGTGTTAAATTAGTGTTGAAAAGCACATTCAACAAAAAATTATGACATCCCAATTCAAGTGTATACACAAATCTTTAAGTTTCTCAACTTTTAATTTCTTAAATCTAATAAAAAATCCTAACAAATTTAGTTAAATGGGACACATTGTAATAATTTTATAAGTTTAGGAGGTCGATTATCAAAATTAAAAGTTTGTGGAGTATTTTACTAAATCACAAAAAGTTCAGAGACAATTGTGCAAAAAAATCTTAAATTAATTAAAGGGAAGAGGGCTTACCAAGGCATCAACTCTTTTTTTTTTTTTTTTTTATAAAACCAAGGCTGAACTTTGAAGTATATGTAACTTACAATATCCGTTGTTTTTCGTTAGCGCTTTGATCCTACAAGTACAAAGTATGAACAATACGAGTATATGACAAAACACATTTAAGTTTTCATGTTTTATAATCATAAAACCAATGATGAAAATATTGATACTCTAAATTTAAAGAAATTTAAAAAAAAAAATTCGATGTTGGTAAAAATATCAACAAAAAAATATTATAAAAACTATAAATATTTATTTTAACACTTAATATTTCTTTTTGACGTTTTAAAATATTATAAACATTAAAAAAAAGATGCATAAAATAAACAAGTTTGTATAAGAAAAAAATACAATACAACCTCTACAAAATTAATATTTTTATTAATACATTCCGATATATACCGATTTTATCCCGGAAGTTGATAGAATTTCTTCGATATTTCAGGTAATAATTGATAATAATAAATGTAACGCCCACCGTGGGGTTCGAACCTGCGACCACAAGGTTATCCTTGCGCTCTACCGACTGAGCTAGACGGGCAGCTCTTTTCGTTCTTTTTTTCTTTTTTATTTTTAAATTTTTAATCTGTACCATCTTTTTCAAAAGGAGCGAAATTCGTTCTTGTAATCAGAAACAATTGAGATATTGGCTTGTTTTTTTGAGTGAAAAACTCAAAAAAAATATAATTTGAGTTATAATTTTATTTGAGTTTATGTTTTTTTAAATTTAAATTTGAGTTTATGATTAAAACTCGAGTTTAAGTTTCATCTTCAACTCGAGTTCAGAAACTCGAACTCAAATTAATGAACAGTATTTTTTCTATTCTTAAAAATGCTATAACTTTTTCGTTTTAATTCTGTTTGAGATGATTTTTTTTATGCGTTGACAACGAAAAGACGAATAAAACCCGACCCATATACCCTATTAAAATTTTTCATCAGCATTAAGTTTTTATTAAAATACTATCTAAATATAAATTCAAGTTTTGACTCACTCAAACATAAACTCAAAAAGATTTTTATCTCAAACCATAACTCAAATGTAAACAACCAAACACAAACTCAAGTTACAAGTTCAACTCAAATTATAACTCAAATTTAACTCAAGAATTATACTTAAGTTAAACTCTGGGGTTGTTCTTTTGTAACAAAACTCAAAAAAAGTTTAAACTCAAGTTACAACTTTATTCAAGTTCACGTTTTTTTAAGTTTCAATTTTATTCAACGTTACTCAACTTTATTCAAGTTATAATTTTAACTCAAATTTAACTCAAAAACTATACTCAAATTACACTCTAAAAGAAAGACCAAACTGAATTTAAGGCTCTTAAAAATATATATATAATTTGTGAGCAATTGCTGTGAATGTTCTTTTTTATTATTTATTTATTTTAATAATATATGGTAATCGTTGGAGTTTAAAACAAACGGCCTAATTAGTTTTAAAAGACATGTTATACATATTCTAAAGGAGAGTCTGATGGGTTATTGTTCACTATACAGTGTTACAAATAGTGTTTTTTTCATTTTTTTCCTCCTCATTTGAGATATTTCCGTGTGTATCCTTTTACACTACTGTACAGTGTTACGAACAGTATTCTCCCATTTTTTCCTCCTCATTTGAGATATGCATGCGTGTATCCTTTTACACTGAATAATTTATGTGTTTTTACGTTTATGCCCTTTTCTTCATTTGCTGTTGCTTGGGGCATTTTTGTCCTTTTAGTGATTAAAAGCCTTACTCGAAAATGGAACTTAAAAAAAAAGGAAATGAAAGAAATAATTAATGTGGGATAGCTTTTTCAGTTGCTTTTCTGTCGAGGGAGAGAAAGGGACACGTGGGAAGTTGGTTTGTTTCTGTTGAGAGAGAGAGAGTGATTTGTTCATGTTGTATTTTTCTCTTTTGCCAGAAAAATGGTTTTTCCTCTTCTTCCTTCACTGTCTGAATGGTGGTATTTTTTTTCCTTCTCTCAGTTTTTCGGATTTTTTTGGTTCTTCAAATTTCTTTTTCTTCTCTCGGGTCTGAATGTTGATATTTTTCTTCAGATTTTTTTTCTCCTTTACAGATAGGGTTAATCATGTTGCTTTTCTTATTCTTTTCCACCACCGAGTTTTCTTCTTTTGCCTCTGAAATCTCTTGCTCTCTGTGTTCCCTTTTCCATTATTTCCCTCTCTTTCTGCTCTATTTTCTTCGCACATATATGGATTTCTTTTCCTTTTTTTTTAAGAAATTTTCTTCTTCTTTTTTTTGCTCTTAAGCGACGTTTTTTTCGACTCTATTTATTTTGTTTCTATTTTTTTCTTTTACGTTTTTTTGGGTGCTGCTGGTTTGTTCTCTTCCATTTCCATATTTGTTTACCGTACATGTTCTTCGCTAGTATTTACGTATATTTATAGCGGAAAATTTTTGTTTTAACAAAAAAATTTCCCTTTACAGATGGGGTTAGATCCATCACCTACAGTTTTATCATCGTTCTTTTAAAAGCTCTTGCTTTTTGTGTTCTCTCTTTCATTATTTACTGATTTAGTTTTTATTTTCTTCTATAATGATATTGTTTCTTTCTTAGATATTTCTCTGAATATTTTAGTTTTTTTCTTCTTTGACTTTATTTTTTTTAAAATAATACGCGTTTAATTTTGAGTTAATTTTTTTGTTATTTGTATACATTTATTTTTGCGTTCCTTCATTTCGTTTCCTTTGCCAGTAACTTGCTCTAACACTGCTTTGGCTCTTGACATTAATCTCTGGGGCTTTTAATGGCTCAGCCATTGACCACTCCAGTGTGGCTGAAGTCGTCTCAGTGCCCGCCGTGAACAAATCCTAACTCATCATAGTAGAATAGTGTCAATCAACTTTCAAGTGTGATCACATTAGTATTAACATTTTTTTTTTTCTTTTACTTTCATGAGAAAAATATTGTTATATAAGTTTGTGTATCTATATCAACTATCAAGAAAATTAATATTAAAAAAAAAAGAATAAAATAAGCCTACCAGCAACAAATGTTCTATCGTGGTTCTATCAAGCTTATCATCATCTTTGCTTTCTTTATTGATCATCATGTTGATAAGAGAATCTAAAGATATCATTTTCTTCGAATCTATAACCAATCTTCTCTCTTAGCTGCAACCTTTGGTTGATAATATGGCAAAAGAAGTCCATGGTTTCGCGGAAGCAAATAGTCGTTCGCCTCCTAATTCCTTGAGGATCAACCTTTCTAAGCACAGGGAAATAGTCAGCCAAATTTGGTTTTCCAATTTGTTCCATGATATTCCAAACAATCTCCTTGAACTCTCTTATTGTATCCGAAGCGTGATCGGCTAAATATTCCATATTGAAAAAAAAAAAGTGGCGGACAACAGATTCAGGGAAGTTTTGAAAGCTGCTTTCCCAATATCCATTACCTCACCCGCTTGCGAGCTTTTATGGACATCATTTAAGGTCCCGTTTAGTTCACTTACTCGAGTTCAGAATTTAAGTTTTGTTACATTAAAAAGCTCTCAAAAACAGTCACATTTAACTTTTTTACTGCAGTAAAAAATTCTCACATAAAATCACATTTTAACTCAAATCAGTGAACTAAACGGGCTATTAGTAGCTCTCGTACCTTCGTTTGCCTTAGGTTCATGTTGGCATCAAGAACCTTAGCGGAAAACAAATGTGAGTTGCATATTTTTCGAAGTTTTCTCCAACTAGGGGAAACAGGTAGCCACACCACGCCAAAATCACTACGATTGGAGGCGCGGGTCGCGTCTGGGATTGTTCGGTTGGAGAAGAACTGATCATGCTTTTGAAGGACTTCTCTGGCCTCAGTTGCGGAAGAGAAGATGATAGTGGTCATTTGGCCAAGTTTCAAACACATAATCGGGCCATAAGACTTGGAAAGCTTGGCCAAGGATTTGTGGGGTTTGTTGCCAAGCAGCAAGAGATTTCCAATGATGGGAAAAGGCTTTGGTCCCGGTGGAAGCTTTTTGCTTCTTGCAAAAGAGAAGAGTTCCAAGGCTTGAAATATGATCCAAATGATGAGAAACAGATCAAATAAATAGCTCAAGAAATATTCCATCTCTATGAACTGCAATAATTTCGATCGATCCCTCCTTTCGAAACTTGCTAACTGGAAGAACAACCTTGGTTTGCGAGTCCCTTTTTTTGGCTGGAGAAGAAAGATGAAATTTGTAAGGCTGGAGATGGATTTTCTGCATTGGCATCTATCCAATCTCAAAACAAAACAAAAACAAAATAAAACAAAACAAAACAAAAAACCTTGATTATTACAGTACAGACTGATATTTTTGCTTGTTGCGCCATACAAATATTGGAGTCACAGCCACTCGTTTGTCTTCAATTAATCATACGGGGCTCAAGTCAAAAGGCAAATTTAGGTAAGGCCTCAATAATTCATTGTCAGTACTATATATTTAAACAATTGTGCACGAGGGAATAGGCAATCGGAGAAAGTAATTATTACATCAACATCCACAGATTTTGCTAGATTATGCTTCTAAATGTAGTTGGATCCACTCGTTTGTCTTTTATTAATCATACGGGGCTAACCAGAAATAGCAAATTAAGGCCTCAATAATTGATTGTTAGTAATACATATTTAAAAGAGAAAATTGTTAAACTGCATGGCTCTGGATTTTTCCAATATATACATATAAACACCAAAAATAACAATAAAAATAATTAATAATAATAGTCAAGAGATTTCCAATTATGATAAAAGGTTTTGATCCCAGTGGAAGATTTTTGTTTCTGTATCAATTTATATTAGATAAATAGTGGTATAAGAAGTTAAGAACTCTGATGAAGTTCAACATTTTACGTTCTCGCTCCTTAGTCAACTCCACTAAACAAATGGGACTTAGGGGACGTTTAGAATGAGGATTCGTGTCATAATTCGAATCATGGTTCGTGGCTCGCTACAGTATTTTCTCTCACAAAAAATACAGGTAAAACGAGAATGATTTTGAATTATGGTTCTGAATCCATGAACCAAACGTCCCCTTAATCATTTTCTCAAAAAGGAACACCATATCAAATTTACAATTATTAAGATATGACACTAAAGACATTTTAAACTTCAAACTTTTACAAATTATACAGGTCCCGTTCATTTCACCGATTCAAGTTTAGAATTCAAGTTTTGTTATAGTAAAAAGCTCTCAGAAACAGTCACATCTAACTTTTTACTATAGTAAAAAACTCTCACATAAAGTCACATCTCAACTCAAATCAGCAAACTAAACGGACCCATAATATCTTGTGAATTCAAGACCATGAGTGATGAGCTTCACCAAAGAATATTGAACAGCCATCATGTACCAATGGATTTGACTGTGGGCTAGTTTGGTAGTGCTTAGATTTTAGAAAAATTATTGTTAGCTATGCTGAAAAAAAAAAAGTTGTTACAAAAAGTAGTTGAGTGTTTGATAAAGTATAATTATACAAGTGTTGCTAGTTCTAAAAGCAGTGTAATAGCGTTTCGTAAATTGTGAGGTTGAATTATTGTGTGTAGTTAAGATGACTAAAATAGATATTATATAAAATTTAAATATGTATAATTTTGTTTGTTATTAAGAAATATTTGTTTAACTTTTTTAAAAAAAAAAAATGAGAGAGAAGAGAGAGAGGTGATGAGACTGATAAGAGTCTTTATTGAAATTGTGATAATTAAACAGGGATAATTTGAGTTTTAAAAAAATTCATTAAAAGGATCCTACAGCTTTCTGCATAAGCCATAAATAGAAGCAACCTTCCACCGACTTTTAGCTTCTGTTGTGGGAACCCTCAAACTTCTTGCACAATCACTTTTGAGGTTTTTTACCGAACGCAATTTAACTCAAAACTTAAATGGAGAAGTGGTTATGGCCGTTAACAAAACATTACTAGACCGGGCCTGTGTCTCTTTAATTTAAGGCCCTATGTAGGGTTTTTTTTTTTGGCATTTTTGGGTAGAAAAGGCTCCATAAAGTAAAAATGATAAACAAAAGGCTTCTTTGAGAATGAGAATCCTTTGTAAAACAATAACAAAACCAAAAAAAAAAAAAAAAAAAAAAAAAAAAAAAATTTTTTTCAAAATTTTTTCTCTTTTCTCTGCCACGTTTTTGACGTTGCAATCATACCTTCCTGATGACTCTGTTCTCCGAGTGGTTGACCTCTTCACCACTTGGCCGAGTCCAAAGCTTTTGAAGAAAGAATCTTACAAGCGTACCCGGTAAGCCATGTTATCAACGGAAACACATATATATGGTTACCACAATTTTTGTGACACAACACAAATAACTCCCCCTACACTTTACTAATTCCACTCTACAAACCAAAAAATCCCTTTCTATCATCAACACTCAAAAGATGTTATCCTTGACAAGCCTTCCTTCAACAACAGAAATCTTATCAACATACACCGCATTTGCCGCCTCGGCAATGCTGGCTCGTACGGTGTTCAATGAGCTACACACCATAACCAATCAAATCATACCACAACATTTCCGAGACAAAATCTTGGCCTTAATCGGAGGCCTACTTGGCAATCTCTCTTCGCAAATAACTCTCACCATCGACGAATATTCCAACGGTGCTTTGTCCATAAACGAAGTCTACCGAGCTTCAGACACATACTTGAGCACAAAAATCACACCCTCCAATGAAAGCCTCAAAGTCTCCAAAACCCCACGTGACGAAAACATCTCCGTCACCATCAACAAGGGGGAGAAGATCGTCGACGAGTTCGAAGGAATCCGCTTAGTGTGGGAATTCCTCTGCACTGAGACCACGAAATCGTGTTACGATTTCGAAACTTGTAATCAGTCGACGGAAACATCCGAGCGCAAGAGTTTCAACCTCAGTTTCCACAAGAAGTTCAAGGACAAGATCTTGAACTCTTATCTGCCTTACGTGTTAGACAAGGCAAAGGGGATGAACGACGAGAAAAAGGTGCTGAAGCTGACGTCGCTTGGGAATTCGTGGAGTTCGGTAGATTTTCGCCATCCGTCGACGTTCGAGACGCTGGCGATGGACGAGAGGCTGAAGAAGGAGGTGATTGATGACTTGGAGAGGTTTGTGAAGAGGAAGGAGTTTTATAAGAGAGTTGGGAAGGCGTGGAAAAGAGGGTACTTGTTGTACGGGCCTCCGGGTACGGGGAAGTCGAGCTTGGTTGCGGCCATGGCGAATTACCTCAAGTTTAACATCTATGACTTGGAGCTCACGCAACTGCAGAGCAACTCGGAGCTTAGGAGGCTCTTGGTTTCCACTGAAAACAGGTCAATTCTTGTGATTGAGGACATTGATTGCAGTGTTGAATTGGAAGACAGAAGACGTGGAGGGTACAACGAAAGTGACTGCCAGGTGAGTTTAGGTTTTCTTTTTTGATTCTTCATTTGGATAATGCGTTTGCTCTTGTATAAGAAATTCAGTTACAAATAATATACTAAGCATAATCACTATCTTTGTGGGAGAATTCTACTGATATAGAAAAAAACCAATCAATAATGGCCCATATTTACACGTTCAAGTCAGTCATTTTAATTCTGAATTCAAATTTTATGATGTTGACGAGAACTTCTTTTTATTTAAATGTTTTTTAGAGAGCAAAATAAGAATTATGGGCTAAAGTTCTAGAACCAAATAGGCTACTGTTTTCAATCGATACATGCACCATGGAAGATTATCCTCCTGCAGAAATGTTCCATCTTTCTGAAGATATATGTAATTTGTCAAACTATCACGTACTAGTGAATCATAAGTATTAGCGTAATTACTTTATATATGTTGTGACAATGCATGTAATTTGTTTGACTAACACATAACATTGCGAGATTATTCAATTCCTCCTTTTGACATGTAACAAGCATGTTCTGTTGCCACACAAACATTTTTAAAAGATCGTCTCTTTCTAAACGATCAATTTCATTTGCTTAACTAAAATAGTAATGGCGTTTTCTTTTTTTTTTCATCTTTTCTGAAGCTGACCTTATCTGGATTGCTTAATTTCATTGACGGGCTGTGGTCAAGCTGTGGAGATGAAAGGATAATAGTGTTTACGACCAACTACAAGGACAAACTAGATCCTGCATTGTTGAGACCTGGTCGAATGGACATGCACATACACATGTCCTATTGCACGCCTTGCGGGTTCAAGACTCTTGCTTTTAACTATCTTCAAATCAAAAGCCACCCTTTGTTCGGAGAAATCGAGGAGATGATAATGGCGGTGGAGGTGACTCCGGCCGAGGTGGCAGAGGAGCTCATGAAAAGCGATGAACCGGATATAGCCCTTGCGGGACTTGTTCAGTTTCTTCAGCGAAAGAAGGGGATGAAGCTTAGTGAACAAGCCAATATTGCTCAAGAAGTAAACAAAGAAGTGGAATGTGAACAAGGCAACGGCGTTAAAGAGGGTCAGAAAATGAGAGTTAAGAAAAACAAGTCGAAGAAGGCAAGAAGAAAAGGAGGCAAATATTGAGACAATGTCTACTCTGTTTATCATTGTCGTTGTTTGTAATCTGTGTTTTTATTTTCTTAAGAAGTTAGGTTTTCGTTCTTGGCGTTTACTAGAAGCATGCCAATTTTACCATCCATTCATTCAGATGTTATTTTCCATTGTGGCGTGACCCGAATGTAAATCTTTTCTCCTAATATACCTACTACTCTTTTAAAGTACTTTTGCAGTATGAAGCAATGAACAACAACGCATCCACATTATTAGCACATACCAGCGATTGTTAAATTTGAAATACAAGCGCATGTTATCTGTGGACTATACACACTAGCGAACAGAGTACACAAAGAACATTTGATCAGTTATCAAGCAAAAAAAAAGTCTTTCTACCCAAAAAAAAAAAAAAGTATCAAAAAACTGTCATCTATATAGAACGAGAGAGAATAAAATAAGAAGATCATAAAAGATCTTGAGGACTGTTATAGGCGATGCTAGCAGTTTTTTTTTTTTTTTTTCTCGTCTCCAAGAAAGTGAATCTAACGCCAAAGTTATCAAAACCAAAATATATTATGTAATCTAGCACTTCAATTATGGTATTCATGATACATGTATTCCTACCTGAAATGAGAAAGACGAGGGAAAGAAATAAAAACTCATTAAGGCCTGTTTTGGGCGTCGCGAGTATTTTTTTTTTTTTTTTTTCTCGTCTCCAAGAAAGTGAATCTAACGCCAAAGTTATCAAAACCAAAATATATTATGTAATCTAGCACTTCAATTATGGTATTCATGATACATGTATTCCTACCTGAAATGAGAAAGACGAGGGAAAGAAATAAAAACTCATAAATTACAGGGGCCTGTACATTCTTCTCTTTTGAAAAGCAAAAATAATAATGCCCATAAGAAGAGGACAAACGAAAGAAAAAGACGATACAAAACTTTACAGAACCACGAGGTTTTAACATTGAGAAACTGAATAGCTCTTGCTCTTCCAGAACAAGGTAAAAGCTCTGCCCATCTTTCTTCTTGATATGGATTTACATAGGGGTTTTGATTCTGGAGCAGGCACGGACACCTCATTACCTTCGGAATGCGTTTGCACCTCCGGAGATGGAGGGTCTCGCTGCCGCTGCTCACGAAAGAGCATCAGAAGTTTCTGAGCCTTCTCCTTTCCTCTTGAGGTCCCATTCACTGAAATTGACACCAGTCCAGGAATCACACCTTCTTGTAAGACCATTTGAATGCATTTCTCATTCCCATTGCATAAAAGCAAGAGACATGAAACAGCTTGTTCCTGCTCAATGGGTTCACCAGCATCCAAGATGGTTGCGAGCACACCAATAAGACCTGGTGCAGACATCATCTCATCTCGCCCCAATTGACCTGAAGCCAAATTTAGAAAGACTGCTAAACATTTTTCTGTCCATGTATGGTCACCAGAGGCTGCAAGGGATTGAAGACCACTGACAATACCAGATGAAAGGAGATTCGGGATATTGGAGGGGACGCTTGAAAGATTGTATAGGGTGTGGAGGGCATCAAGTTTGCATTGGATGTCAGTATTAGCTTTAAGGAGCTTGATTAAGAAAGGAACACCATTTGATGAGCCAATGATTGGTTTGGCCTCTTCGAGGCAGGAAAGATTTAGGTAAAGAGCAGTAGCAAATCCATGAGAATTGGTAGACGATATCATATCCTCCAGCAACGGAATTATCCCCAATTCCAACATCATTTCCTTGTTTCTGAAATAAGCAAAGGAAATGACATGTTAAATTATTGCGTTTCAATAGTTTATATAAGAATATGAATACATTTTCATAGTTCGAGGAAAAGTTTTTTGTTAATAACTCAAGGAAGAGGGAGAAAGTTAAGTTCGGGAACTGTAATTAGTCCTTCAATAAAATCTCACAATAAACAGTCAAATCTGTCTAAACAACCTGGAAAAGTAAAATAAAAATAATTAAATAAATATTGCACCTGTTATTGTTGACAGCAAGGTTGAAGATAGCCATGGCTCCACTTTCCTGAGCAGCAGCATTTCCTTCAGTCGTGGCCGAGTAAAGAAACTGCATAAGTGCTTGAACAAATCCATTAGCCCCCATGTATATTCTAGCTTCTTCATCGTCCTTCAGCAAATGCCTTATTTTCTCCACCACTTTGCACTTTTTCCTGAAGTCATCCCCATCATTCAAGATGGTCAAAAACTCCTGATAAGTTTCAAGCGCATTGTGCTCAGGCTCTTCCTCCAGTGGAAAAACATTTTTCGTTTCATTTCCATCAGCCTCCTTTAAGATACCACTTTCCTCTAAAGGAACCACCTTAATCCCTTTTAACTTGCAAGAGCCGATACTACCCACAGATTTTGAATTTGTGGACTCGGCCTCAGATAGTGCCAACCTCCAATAGTTGAGATTAAGAGACTCTGGAGGACCATCGGGAACAGGAACTCCATTCTGTTCACACCAACTAGAAACAAGGCCCTTGACACAGTAATTCGGAGTCAGAGAAAGATGAGACACCATTTGTTGAGTCTTTGGACAGGTATTGTGCCCATCACTGAACCATTTTTCAATGCAAATCCTTTCATAAGTTTGACCAGAAGCGATAATGACTGGATCATACATAAGCTGCAGTGATATTGGACACCTCAACTCTTCAGGTGGGAGGGGCATCTGCCCTGATTTCTTATTGTTTGGCTTAATATTGAAAGAATTAAGTTTTGATAGCTGTCTCTCAAAGGCATGACCATTACCACCAGGCTCAACAATATCGATAGAACCCAGAACAGTGGGAGAACAAGGAGCAGAACCCTGAGAATCATTGTCATCTGAGAATTCACTTCTGAACAACTTAGAGTATTTTCTCATAAGATATAAAAGATAAGCCACAATGGACTCCTTCCGCTTATCTTCCTCGGCACGGGCTCTTTCTATTAATTTCTTTAGAGCTCGTCTCTCTGTCAGAGCTACCCTGGAAGAGGTAATTCCAAGTTTAGTAGCAGCTTGATGAAATGATTCCAGCTCATTGCTGTCACTGCAGTTGTCAAATTTCCTCCCCTGCTGGAGAAGTGCAATTATCTCATCACCTACTTGCTTCTCCAATGGATCAAGTGAGAAAACAGTACCCTGAAGTTCACTAACAATTTCTTGAATCTGAAACAGGATTAAATCTAATTGTGTTAGTGGAGAGCTCGAAGTCATGAATCAAAATGGGAAAGCAATGATATGGGAAGGAAAAAGAATACTAAACATCACCATCAAGTAAAAGTAGAACTGTAGTCACTTCCGATAAAATCCAAGTAATATCAAGTGACTAATGGAGAAGAAAATTGGCAAGTCTTGTTAACGAGAATTTATCAGGAGTTTAACAAATTGAAGTTACATTTCTACTTTTAGTATAGTAAAACCCCTACAAGTTCTGCTTAAATATTTGCATTACTCACTAACAAAGTATTGCCGTATTATATGCAATTACAACACACCACCAGAAAATGAACCTAACCTGAGAACCAATAGATTGTGCAACAATATCTTCAACACGCCTCAAACTATCTTCAAGAGCACATCTTGCCTTCTCAAATTTTGAAAGCACTGAATCTCCAGTTATAGCCTGCATGGTAAGAGCAAGTTCAGCTATTACACACACTTCTAGGGAAAAAAGATATCAAGTCTCATTAACGTACTAGTTTAAATTTGAAATCCGAGATGGATAATTGCTCAATTATTTTCCCAGATAAAAGGCAAGACAAGACATACATGAGCAACAGTTCATGTAGGTATTCAAAGTTTTAAATCATGAATACATAAGGTAAAACCTACCAAGTAAAGTTTACTACACTCAGAGCAATGCTGAAGAACATTCTTGGACTTCTCAAGTGCCACATGCAGTGAACACAACGCCTGAATACCGGATTTGCTTCTTGGCCGAGCCGCTTCCAAGGAAGGGAAAACTGACATTATTTTGCAATAAATTGCAGAAAGTGTCTTGCACATCTCTCCATGTAACTACGAAGAGGCAAAAACGTGGCCAATCAATTGTCTAAAAACTAAAGTAATCATATCATTCATGAGAAAACAATCAAAAAGATAAAATTCATATTGATACTTCGCAGCTTTTCCAGATTTTCAAATTCCAAATTGAATATTTGCAAATTTATACAACAAGTACATTTGATTTTCAGCATATGTGGATTTCATACCTTTGCATCACTAGCTGCAATCAAATTTTCGTCAACATCAATGATATCCATGATTTAAGCTCACAGTCGAAAAGTGTCAAGCAAGTTTACACCGTCTGCATTTGAAAGACAACCAAATTAAAATGACAGAAGAAAAAAAGAAACCTGACATAATGAATGCAAGAAAGAGAGGCTTACAGAAGTAGAAATCATAACAGGTCACACCAATAAATCAAGCCATAGTTCATTTTGCCAAAGGAAGCCAGAATTAACAATATAAAGTTTTGTGAGTTAAAAAAAAAAAAAAAAAAAAAAAGGGGGCAAAGACCGTAAATTTAGTTGCTATGAACACTTGGGGAAGAGCCCATCCATGTAAAGAACTAGTAATATGTTGAATCCACTTTCATTGGAAACCCGTAAACACATCGAAATTTGAATCCACTTTAACTAACCAACAAGCTATTTCATGCTCAGCTCAGTAGCCAAACTCGTTCTTCAAATGTTTTCTTTTTCAAATAAATTATTGATTTTTTTTTTTTGTAAAATTTTCTCGGCAACCAAACAAAGCATTGCAAAATTTTACTGAAAAGGATCGAGTACTCGATCTAGACAAAACGTTTAACAAAACAAGAAGAAGAAGGAAAGAGAAAATCTGATTAAAAATTCAATAATACTACCTAGAGACAAAGAATCCATTGAAGAAATGTGGAATGGCAAAAGAAAATGCCATCGCAGGCCAATTGAGCGTTCAATCAATATCAAAATCTCAAGATTTCACAGTGGAATCTACAAGTTTGGAAATTTTCAAAGACGGCCATATTAAAACATTCCTCTCATCTCACCTATTGAAATTCCACATCCCAAACACCGGAAGGGAAAAAGAAAAACCAGAGAACAAAAAATATAGAAGCGAAAAAAACTCAAAAAGGTAAATTTCAACAAAACCGCGCGAATTCCTTAGAAAATGCGATTTGGACACGGAATCCAACCGCACTGTACACGGAAAAAAATCGACAAAACAAAGAAAATCGACAAAACAAATTTACAGCTCATAAAAGCAGAGATACGCGTTACAAGACGCAGAAAGCATAGCTAGGGTTTGGAACAAACAACGTACCAGAAGAAACGGAGCGAGCCAAGGAGGCTTCATAAAAATAGCATTCGCAGAAATAAAATGCCGGGAAACAAACGGAAAAAAATAGAAGTGGAGTTCCTACAATGATCTGTACCTTCCCATTTCATTACAGCTAAGTTGTGTAGTTCAAATCGAAGAAAAGCGAATTTCTCGGAGCGCAGAGACAGAACAGAGAGAGAGAGAGATTGGAATTTTGGTTAATCTTCTGAGTGGACGAAAATGGTAAGAGAATGTTGGAAATAGTGGAAAAAAAGAAATTGAAGTTATTTGAGGGGAAAAATAATAAATAAAATATTAACTGCGAGAGTTGAGGTGTAAATATATATCATAATAATGTATACATAGAGGGAATTAGTTTAAAAGAATAAAAAAAAAAAAATTCGTAATCAGGGATTGGAATTTTCGCCGCTATTGTCTCCCCCGTCCACCGGCCGACAGTTGCCGACCCCCTAATTTGTCGGTTAGCAGATCTGTCATTAATGATACCAAATGACCAAATTGCCCTTCAAGAGGTGGGAAAACATTTATATTATATAAGGCCCCGTTTATTTCACTGATTCAAGTTTAGAATTCGAGTTTTACTACAGTAAAAAGCTCTCATAAACAATCACATCTAACTTTTTTGCTACAGTAAAAAGTTCTCACATAAAATCACATCTCAACTCGAATTAAAAACTCGAATCAGCAAAGTGAACGGGCCAAACATACAACTTTTGGTATTTTATGGGCTGCTTGAGCCTTTGAAGCCTTGAACTTTCCCACTTGTCCACTAAACTACCACGTATATTTTAAGATGTTTTATTTATGTATTTAGAATTATAATTTAAAATTATTTTTATTTTATGTATATTTTTTATGAGAGAAGATACTATAAAAAATCATGATTTAGAATTAAAGATGAATATAAGAAATAAACGTCCCTATAATGTATAAATTGAAAGAGAGTAAGGCCTCGTTCACTTCGCGGATTCGAGTTTTCAATTCGAGTTGAGATGTGACATTTTCTTAGAGCTTTTTACTGTAGCAGAAAAAGTTATATGTGACATTTTCTGAGAACTTTTTACTGTAAAAATCTAAAACTAAAAACTCGAATCGGTGAAATGAACGAGGCCTAAGTGTGTGTGTGTGTTTTTTTTTTTTTTTTTTGCGGCTTAAAGAGTTTTTTTTTTTTTTTTGTGTGTGCTAAAATACTACGTAAAAGTGGGTTATTGGTATGAACAATAGCAAATATTTGGTAAGATCATGATCTATATTATTTTTGCTATTGCGTCTTGATGTCACACCAATAAGAAGATGTTCCCGCAACTAAAACTTGAATCCACATCATGTATATGTACGTTAGTCAGTGTGATCCATAACTTGAATGTATTGTCCACTTTTCAAATAAAATATTGAGACCAAATTAATGGCATTTACACAAATCTTTGTAAAAATTGTATCGCAAATTCCTTGATATCAGGAGATCATTAGGGTATAACTTTTACCGTATTTGTATCTTCATTTTTTGCTCAGGACCATATTTGTATCTTCATACCTGTACGTATTTATAATCTTCATACTTGTTGATTAATGAAATGTTATTTTGCATTAAATAAAATATTCATAATATTCCTCTTCTTCATTTAATTGTTGCATATCTCACTGATTTGATTTTTTTTTTTTTAGTATTATTTGCGATGCAACGATTGATGAGAGTTGTTTGGTTTAATTAGCATTTTTTTTTAATAAGTTAATTAGCATGTTTTGCGTGTTCTCTTTTTTTTTTTTTTTTTAAGAAGCATAAAACCCAAAGACAAAAAAAATTAGAAGAGAAGAACAACATCAAGAAAAAAATCCAACTGCCAAACTGACATCCGCAATGGAGAGAAAAAAATAACTGGGAGAAGAGAAAAAAAACAGAAGACCAAAAGAGAAAAGAAAAGTTTGAGATAGCAGAGCAGTCGAGTTAAGAGAAAAAGGAAAGAGCTACAGTTGTCAGCTTGAGACAACATAACCGGAAAAAGATAAGGATGTGTAGCCACGTGGAGAGCACAACACGCGCAGGGAGAAGGAAAATAGTTACAGGGCCGTTTAGTTCGTTGATTCGAGTTTTTAATTTGAGTTGAGATGTGATTTTATGTGAGAGCTTTTTTCTGTAGCAAAAAAGTTAAATGTGACCGTTTGTGAGAGCTTTTTACTGTAGCAAAACTCGAATTCTAAACTCGAATTAGCGAAATGAATGGGGCTGGAAGCAACGGCATGGGGAAAGCAAAAAGGCGCGAGAGAAAAAAAGAGGAACAAATTTAAGGGTAAAAAAGAAAGTGCACTGTTATTTGAACAGTAAAAGCCCGACCTCTTATAGTGTACAGTAGAATTAGTGTCTCCCTCAAAAAAAAAAAAATTTTGGTGTCATATAGTATTACTTTTTGCAACACATGCTTGTTGCCCTTTAAGTAACGAATTTGTTCAAAAACCTACAATCCTTAAACTAAAAGTCCCTAGCGTTTTTCAATTATAAAATTTTCAAATACAAAAAGACTAGAAATATAATGCCTAATAAATAAATAAATGAAGGGAAAAAAAACAAAAACAAAAACCTATCGTATGTTCCTGTCGTGGGGGGAAAAAAAGAAGAAAAAGATCTGGCATATAGAAATACATCAATTGAACATAATTGGTATGTTTTATTAATGCACTAAATAGGGAGCCATACCGATGCTTGGACACTAATAGCAAGTTTCCTTCTATTGTCAAAAAGAAAAATAGAAAAGGATTTTATTAAATCACTAGGACCACTTTCAATTTCAAATTTGTTAATAAGCACAAATCCATGAAAACGTTAATCACTCTCCGAAGATTAAAAATCCTAATCACACACCCAATATTGGGTTTAATTAGCGAAAACCTCTTTGAAAAGTTGCTTTTGTCAATTATCTTCTAATGTAATGACGGTGCCGGATTGTTACACCACAACAAGCTACCTATCACATCCTTCTTTTAGATTTTCCGTGATTTACTTGAGTTGTCGTGGCCTTTCTGTTTTACTTTTGTTTTGTTTTTTAGTTTCCTTATGAAACGAAAGGTGTGGTCTTTAGAACGGATCTATAATGCGTTTTTTTTTTTTTTGGTTCTAAAGATTCGTTATGTCTCTTGTATGTTTGAGATTGATGGCAGTTGACATCATTTTTGCCTTTTCACTTTGACTATTGATAGATAGATGATTCTTAAAGGTCAAATAAAATGATACTAAATATTTCCTTAAAAAAAAAAGGAGATAATTCTTCAACGCTAATTATAAATATTCATTAATTAAACCGTTGAAAAACAAGAACATGATTAGTTTGAAATGGAATGCAAAAGAAGAGAATAGAAAAACAAGTGTGATGGGCAATATGGAAAAGATAAATGCTAGTTTCACGAAAATTTTTAACTCGAAAGCCGTGAATTAGGTATATTTTAATCTCGTTCATTTCACCGATTCGAGTTTAGAATTTAAATTTTTTACAGTAAAAAGTTATCAGAAACAGTGATATCTAATTTTTTTGTTACAATAAAAAACTCACATAAAATCACATCTCAATTTAAATTAAAAATTTAAATCAGCTGATTAAACGGACCTTTAAAATGACACATTAAGTCACATGCAAGTAAATGAACGGTAATAAAAATAAAATTTTGTGATACAATTCGTGTACTGATTTTTGGATTGTGTAGACGGACTCTAAGGAAAATACATAATCCTTTAAATACAAAATATCGTGTACACTAACCAAACGAATTTATACTTTTTCATTTTTGTCCTTATTATGTTATTCTAGCAAACAACTATTGTTTAATTTCACAAAAGGGATCTATGTGGATTCCATAATTTAAGGGCATGTTTAGTTCGTTGATTCGAGTTTTTAATTTGAGTTGATATGTGACTTTATATGAGAGATTTTTACTGTAACAAAAAAATTAGATGTGATTATTTTTAAAAAATTTTTACTGTAGTAAAACTCAAATTGATAAAATGAACGGGATCTAAATAATATTATGAAAAATAAATAATAAAATAAAGAAAGAAAGAAAAAAAAGAAACAGCAAATTGTTTGGTCAAGCTCAAGCTTGAGGATAAGGTCTCTCTGTATAGTCAGCTTCCATTTTCTTACTCCTTTGAATTTGGATATGGTGGTCGTCGACCCTTGCTTCATTATCAATGTAGTAGTCAATAATGCCCATTACGTGTTCCAAGGGCAAGGGAGCTATGTGGTAATTTCTATCTACAAGAGGGTAATTTTGTCATTTCGTATATAGATGAATTTTTTAGCAGCGGGTGTCCCCAGGCAGGAGTACGGAAACAGGAATCCACAATCTTGTCGTAACATTTTTATTTTTTGTTTTTAAATGTGGGCTCACCACCCCTCCACGTGGTTATGTTTTTAACCATCGATTTTAACAGACTCACTCACTATTAGAAATCCCCACTACTGGGCCCCACCTGGATCCTTAATTCACGGATTCATCTGTAGTTTTCTCCCATTCGGAATTGAATTAGAAATATCTACCTTGTGTCAAGAAACATATCACGCGCGCATTTTCACGCATTACAAACAAACAATTTTATTTTTATTTTTTTTTATCAGCAACAAACACTTTTGTTTTGCTAATAAAAGGGGGATTGAATTGTATTAATTAAAATGGATTGATAAAGAATAGAGCCTGGTTGTACTAATGTAATTTCAAAATTATTCTATGGATCTTATTGGTGTCCCACTTCGATAAAATTAAGTTATTTTATAGACTACAGAGCTTATTAACATTTTAAAAGTAAATAGATTACTAGATATGAGACTCATATTCTATTGTTCGAATTATAATATATTAATAGTAACATAATAAATTATTTTGAGTTGAAATAAGATTTCACTCGACAACTTCTACTTGTTTGATTTGAGTCGTTTAATTTTGATTAAAACTTTAAGAAAATTTTGAGGAAATAAGGGTTTTTATAAAGGAAAAGAAAAAAAACACGAAGGAAAGAAAAAAACTTCTCACGTTGGTAAAAAAAAAATGCAATAAAGCATAAATTGTGGGTTAAATTTAATTTTAGTTATTGATTCATAACGACACGACTTTTATCTTTTTAAATATATTTTACCATATGTTTCCATTAAATAGGTCTTCTTAACATTATTAGACATTCTTCCCTTTTGGTATCACCTGATCTGATCATGCATTATGCACTAAGGTATCATGCACATCTATTAAAAATGATGTCTTTAAAGTATGAGATATAATAGGATATTTATTATTTATTTAATAAAATAGTTTATTCACTATTTTATG